GCTTGGGTACATGAAATAAAGGGAAACAAAAAGGCAAGCACCTCCCAATGAAAGGCTTGGTGCTGCCGTCTCGTGGGAAAAGGGAGAAGGGGAGCTTTGGTAATAAAAGCAGAAATGCAAAAAGGGGAAAAAAAAATTTAAAAACTTGCTAACATCAACACTCCCATTTTTGTTTGAGGATGGCTGTGTGCTTTATTGCTCACAGATCAGTTTCCTTTGCAGGTGATGTGGGCCCAGAATTACATCACCAGCAGAGCAGCCAAGAGCATCTCAGTGCCAGGATGACCGAAGCCGAGAGGAATGTATTATCACAGACCTCTGAGGGACTTGCCAGTGCATTCCTTGCTGGGGGTGCTGCGATGGGGGAGGCAGAGAAGAGAAAATTTTACGTGAAGACTGAAAGGAAACTTTGTGGAGGAAAGATCTGGGGTCACAGTCCTGCTGTCTCCTCTAAGCAGATCTAATTATGGCCATGTACTTCAAAAAGAGGGTTTAACTAAAACCAGATTTAGCAGCGCACTGCTTAGGAAGTACAGACTGAATCTTCATCTTTGCCTTTGAGGAAAATACAAAATGCTCCAGTGCACTGGGAACACTGTCTCTGTGGTTGTAAAGAATAATTTGAAGCTGCAGCAAGGAAAGTATGAGTCAATTTAAAATTCTTATCACTTCAATGAATTCTTATAATAAAAGGTGACTAAACATAATGTCGATGCTTTCAGACATACAATACTTACATTAGATACTGAGTGTGCATTTACTGACACGTGTGGTAGGGTAAAAGAATCATAGCAGTCTCGAGGATCATGCTGGAAATGATCAAATTACTCACAAAGCAGTTGCACAGATTTCCTTTAACGAGCTCCAACAAAGCCTTTCTGCCACATCGCACCCTCTATTTGGCAAACCATGTCCTATGCATGTGAAAGAAACTTCCTCCTCCTCCAATTTTTGAAGGCTTTCAAGCTATTTCTGCCATCCATCCTGCAGGACTGGCTCAGTGGTCCTCACCACAAGCCTGTTTCTGAACCATTAAAATCAGTGAGAGCTTTCCAGTGCTTTTAATAGCAGCAGAATGTGCTGTCAACAAACGGGATTAAAAGAAGAGTTTGAGACAAGTTGTTCAGATATTAACACCTCTGAAAATGTCAGGATTTTAAACCTCAACTCCTAGGCCGATCAAGAGGTCAGTGCTGAGGTTGCACAGAGCTCTTCCCTTTTCCCCCAGAAGAAGCAGCCCTGCTGACCAAATAAAAAAGTTTATAATTGATCCTAAAGATTTCTCCCTCCCACCAGTTCCCTAAAGGGGAAGGCAAGAGGGCTGGGACTAGACAGACCAGAGAACAACCAAATACCGCTTCAGCCTGCTTTACACAAGAGCTTTTTGCAGTAGGGAAGTGCCGATAGCTGGTTTAGCTGCAGCCAGCTCAGCCCCTGCCTGAGCACACACTGTCAGCTCACTCCCCAAAGCATGGCTGAAGATCAGGAGCGTGCCCGTGCTTGGAGGACTCATTTTATCATTGTGGCTCCTGCTGCGTGATCTTCTGCTCTTCGGGTGTCCGCTGCAAGCCGCCTCGTCAGTGTAGCTACAGTCAGTCCCTTCATTCTCCACCTGCCAGACAAGAGACTCCTCAACCCACCGACTGCCCACCTCTGAGGGGGCCCCGGGGGCCTTCAGCTCTTCTCCTTGTTCCTCAGCCTCATCAGGAGGCTCCAGGAAGGTGGCTGCTCTTGCATTCCCAGGGATAGGAGATGCCCAAGGACAGCTTGATGTTACAGGAACAGAGGCTGAGGCAGGCAAGCATGGAAAAGGGGAGTTTGGGTCAAATGGTAAAAATAGAGAATGCTGTCCCTAACTTTCAAAACATTCCCATCTTTAGATATGATTGCAGCATACTATAGGGAAATTTGCAAAACACTTCAACCACCTTGTCTGTAGAAGCACTTTCCATTAAAAGTACCAGATTTCTTTCATCTCCATCTGGCAAACGGTTGTCACAACTCTTCCTGTAACATGCCAACCTTTTCCACAACCTTTCTACAGCTTAGTTGCACTTGGTGTTGAAGAGCCAATACGAACAGTCAGGCCCTTCAGCTTTCTCCATTTACCCATGATAGATGTCTACGTTTTTAATATCCCCGTGTACAGTTTTTTTCTTTCTTATACTTTTCATGCATAATTATTCTTGACAAATCATGTTTTCCTATTACTTCCTGTGTAAGGCTGACCTAATAATTAGTCCCTCATAGGGACTGGGTGCTTCCATAATCATGTTGTGGATGGATTAGAGATAATGTATGAAAGTGTATGCAAAAAAATATTCCAAAGTAAATACATTAAGAGTTCTAGAAATACATTAAAACCAAGACATTTTTCTGCTCTTAAAAAATTTCCCTTTTTATCTTGTTCAAACTTTCACAGGACAGCAAAAACAGATGTGGCCTCTAAAAGGTGATATGGGCAGCAATGGTTAGGAAAGATTGGTAAAACACTGTGAAGAAAGAAATTACTTCAATTACTTAGGTCCAGGACAGAAATTATTACTTCTCACATTTACCAGGCTGCTGTGAGGTGGCCATCCTACAGGGCTGTTCTTCCTCTGGCTCACCCTGTCTCATTAACTTTATAACTGCAAGTTCAGCAGAGTCGCTGACGGGCAAAGTTCACCTCCATGTCCCTTTTCTTTTTCATGAAGACTACAAGTCTGTTTGGCTCTTAATAAAATAACCCTCAGATCTCAAAGCACCACAGTAAAACAGATTATATATATATAGTGGTACTTATAAAACAAGAATGCCTGTGCAGGATCCTGAGAAATGCCTTTGGGCAGGTTAGTTCTTTGTCCCAATATGCAGATTAAGTGAGTATGGGAGGTTTTTGTATGTTCTGTCATATTGCAACTTAATCTTTCCACTACAAACTCTTTCTTTTTGACAAAATTCTATTGCTGCTTACCACTGTGGGGCTTTCCTGAGAAGTCATCCCATCACCGTCTCTTTCTCCACGACTATAGCCCTCAAAACAACACTACTTCCAGGTTTTAATACCTACAAAGACGTGGGTGCAGCCTTAGTTTCATGTGCACTCCACAAGCAAAGATGAAGAGGTGAGATCATTTAAGACTATACACTAATGAGTGGTTCACAGCCTGTCCTGAGTTTGCTAATCTGCTCTGCAAGTGATCTGGTAGGAGGACCCTGAAGAGAGAGGGATACGCATGCTTGGTTTTCTATGTTTAGCTACATGCCATATCCCCTTGGTCGCTACTAAACTTGTAACAAATTTTCTCATTTAGACAAAGTAGATTAAATAGCAAATATTAAGTTTCTTGTGTCACTCAAATCAAAAGGCCTTCAGCACTGCAATTCTTCCCCCACAGCCACTGGTACAGAGGCACTGGCGACTAAAGCCGGCAGATTTAGTTGCTCTTAAAGATCTGCTTTCCAGACAAGATCAAACTCAAATTGTCCTTTTTTTATTATTGTCTTTCCAAAAATTGTAGAATGTAGAAAAAATGAAGTTTAGAAGTCAGGAAAGAGCAGGAAGAATATAAGAAAATGCCCACAGAGGTGGGCTTGATATCTCAGCAGTAGTAATATGAGACGGAAAGCTTTTTAATCAGTTCATTGAAGGAAGTCAGTTCAAAACAGGTCATAATAGGTTATTTAGTGGCCTTTATGAGTTGAGCTGGAATAATAAGGCAACAATTGTCAAATTAAAGTGAATATAAAATGTAAAGACAAATGTAAATGGTATTTTAATACCACTTGTACTTTTGTAGCACTTTAGTTGCTTGCATGTCCACATATTCATGGGTGTTCATAGAGAAAAAATGGCATCTATGAGAATCAGATGTGAAATTGCTCCTTACTCGGAAATACAACAATTTTTGAATTTTCTGCTAAGAGAATCAAACTGCTAAGATGCAGAAGCATTTTTGTCCTTTAAAGTTTGCCAGTCAACCCAGGAAAACAGAAATACAGAAAACCAGCAGCTATTAAACCAGGAAATATGGTCACTGTAGTTCATGTGCCACCTACTCAAAGCTGGCACTGAACTGAGCTCAGGAAATACACTAACAACAGTTTAGCTCCTGGCTTTTTACAAATGTCTGCCACCAGGTTGTGGTTTCCTCAAAAGCATTTTGTCTTTGAACTTGCCTTAAATATTTTTCTCAGAGCTTTTTTTTATTAAAAAAAAAAAAAAAAAGTTGTGGATTGATTTCAAGCAGTTTGGTATGAGCATGAAAATTTCATAATAAAAAACTGAGGCAGTTACCGAATGCTCATTCTTCACCTAAGGTCAGTGCTTTTTCTTTTTTTAGAGGCTCAGAGAACTAATTACTCCCACAGGGAGGACAAACACTTGAAGAAAAAAACCCTAGAGCATATGAGCTTGTGAGATAAACACTGCAGATAGTTCATCACAGGCTGGGCACATTTTATAAAACATGAAGATATTTTCTTCCAGAACACCATAGATCTTTCCTGAGGTATGTGTCTTCAAAAATATGAAAACTAATGCAAATGGTTTGTGATTTTGCAAGCCTAAATGCTAAGAACATGGCAAAATCCATACTTGTGTGCCAGTATCCTAATGTGTGTTGTGGTTTTCCTTACCCTGTCCTCCTGCTGTGACAAACGGCGCCCTGTCCCTCACAAAACGCAGCACTCAGCTAAGCAGGACAGCCGCAGACTTAGCCAACGTAAATAACATCTGATCAAAAGCTACCAGGAGGTGAACACAAAATGGGCATGAATAATTCAAAACAAATTCGTTTCTTAATTCAAGTGCACGCTACAGGAACATTAAATGGTATTTCCAGCTCTAGTCTTGCACAGTAGTGTACTTGCTAATAATATGAGTGAACTGACATTTACAAATGATTTACACAGGAGTTTAGTGTCACTTAAACACAGACAATACCAGACCATGTCACTGCTGAACCGACAAGCACTGGGACACTGGGTATACTCTCTGCACCGTCTCAGGTACTCACCTCTCCCGCTCCTGTTCCAAGAGGTTGGTAAAGTCATCGCTCTTGTTCATGTAATCTGTATGTTTATGTTTCTCATTTTCTAGCTCATAAACTGTGCGGCGATGGCACTTTTCTGCCAACAGGAGCTGTTCCAGCATGCGCCGATATGTCTCTTTCTGTTTTTCTTCAAGTCTGTCCAGCTGGATTGTAGGAAAGGAGAACAGACTGTTTTAAAGGTCTCCTTGCTTACTTCATCTGATTTATTAACCAACAATGTTGTGTTTGGTAAATGCGAGTCCCATAATTTTATGTCTTGGGCTTACATAAAGCAGTAACTAGAAATAAGAGTAACTGTCCTGTAAAAGTAATTATTTCTTTGGATGGTGTGTTCGTAATCAACATTTTCATGGTTCTCAGATACACAAAGGACAGAACTTTGCTTAGTTTTAGGGTAACAGATAATATTGTTGCAGTGCAGAATTTCCCCTGTGGTGAGGTGGTGTGCACACTTTCCTCATTTCTCATGGGAAAAGCTGTAGCAAATGCCAGGGCAGGATACATGCCCCCCGAGTTCACACACCTATATGGGGACTAGACACCTATCTGTGGAATGTGAGGTGTAAGCTCAAGGATGAAACGCACCTTCAATGCACCTGTAGGAATGCTGAATTATGAAGTCTGAAAAGTTTAGATTCAGCATAGATTCAGTTTTATATTACTAAAATCAATTCATTATAAGCCTCTTTCTTTATTAGCAACACTGCCTTTTTTGTCTTTGGGTTTTTAAAATTAATTTAATATTCCATTTATTATTCAAATAAATTCTAAGGCCGGGGAAGTTTGTCTAAAAAGTTGCCATGGCACTCCGAAGCCACCACGGCTATTCATGTCATTCCTTTCACTGTTTCTTGGGAGCATATGACAAACTCCATCCTCCTCTCTGCCAAAGCTGCCCACTGCCCTGGCACTTCTCTGCTTGCCTGCACCCAGCACAGCAGCTGGCAGACCCTGCTCTGTCCATCCCCAGCCCTTATCCTGCAGGAATTGCATCTTCCACGGCCCTGGCTGCACCAGGCCATTTCACAGGGTGCCTCAGCAAACTGAGGAAAATAAAGAAAACAGGAGAACCATGGCAATAATATAAGAACAATGGTTACTCTCCAGATGTTGACCATGGCAAAGTAAAACAGTCATTGCATTTTGTAAAGGAGCCGGGTTGGGTTCAGCATTTGAGAGTAGATCTCTCACACTTATGAAATTTTGTCACCATCCTATTTTAGCTTCAACATAACCCCTGTGGACCTAAACATGACAAAAGTTTTACACTGAGGCCCCTGTCAGATTATCAGCTTCTTTAGACAAAAGCCCTGCTAAACTCTTTTAATCTTGTTTGACAATATTTCATGCTTGCTTTCACATGAAAATGTTTTCTTTCCTTATTTATTATCATCCCAAAAATTCTAGATGCTTCAGTGAGAATACACAGTATAAAGATATCCTGTTGGTAAACACAATTCCTGGTGAAAAAATTAAATGTTTTAATAGAAGGAACTATGAGGATTTGGACAGGCACTACAGTATATGATGTTGTTGCATGCTTTTTCTCCATGCTCTGGACTGTTATGAAACTATAAACATGAGCAGTGGCTGATTATTTTGGTGTGCACGCTGGCTTCAGGCATTCCCAGGTTTATTCTACATTCATTTATTGCTTAGATTTTAAAGTAAGGGATCAAGTCCTATAGGTCTCCTTTAGGGGCTGAACTGGCTTTGCAGTCCTAGAGCTTAAATGGTGTAAAATGATAATGGATTTATGATCCCATAAATATGGTCAAAGTCAATGTCTGAAGGTCTTCTTTACCTAACCACCCCCATGATGGTGGTCTAGTATGCCAAGAAAATCACAGTGCTTACCAGTGCTGTGAGCAGTAGAGGTTGGAGCCCGTAGTTGAAAGGAATTTAAAAACCAGAAACATAACACCCAAAGATTTTGTTCTTGCTTAACGGCACCAGCCCTAAGTAGCATACAAGCTCTTTATTTTTTGTGTTCAAACCCAGTGGCTTTGCTTACAATTTATTCTGCGGTTGAGTGAACAGGAATATTCATTTTTGCTTTGATTTCTTGCCATTTGTACAAATACTCCGTTATACTCTGGCGTGTTTTGCACACAAAATATATGGAGTCTCACTTCTGGTTAGGATTCCTCCTGCACAGATATAATGTGAAAATCAAGAAGTTATTACCTCTGAAATTGGTTTCTCATAGACATCTTCCCCTATTGACTTTTCTTGAGCAAGGATGGCATCCCTGTGTAGCACTCGGAGCACGTTCTCTGGAGCTGCAGACCCATAATGAGCTTCTAAAACTTCAGGTTTGGTTTTCTCTGTCTTCAGCATGTGGATCACATCTTCCCTTGCCTGTAACATTGCAAATCACTACATAAGCTAACCTATTAACCAACAAGGAAAATGGGCAAAATAGGAGCATTTATATTTATAATATTTATATTTATATATAAAATAAAATAAAATAAAATAAAATAAAATAAAATAAAATAAAATAAAATAAAATAAAATAAAATAAAATAAAATAAAATAAAATAAAATAAAATAAAATAAAATAAATTAGAAGAATGCCAGGCTGCCAATGCAAATAGAAAAACTTTGGGAGATACCAGAGTATACATGATATGTGCAATCTGAATGTTGTCCTTGTAGGCATTAAGTGTTCTATTCCTGCCTGCTATTACATTTGAATGCTATGAATTTTTATCTGTGTTGCAACTATAGCTAAGGACCGTCATTACTCTTCATACACTTCATCTTACTCACTGCCCATGCCATTCCCTGACTGGGGTAAGGAGATGAGTAGAATAAGCAGCACAAGTGGGCTGAATTAATATTCTGTAAACAGCCTCAAATCAAGTTTTTCCTAGTCATTCCCTACCTGACTTTGTGACAAAATATTCTCTTCAAGTAACTTTTAAAATAAAGTTTTCTAACTTTTCTTTGTTTAAACAAAACCACCTGCTTTTAAAATGAGCAAGGAAATAATTTCAGAAAATGTCAAAGACCCTTTAATCTTTTTTTTAACAAAATAGAGTAACATGAAAATAAAACAAAAAATTAACTCCAGGCAAAGATCATGCCACCCAATTGAGAACTAGCCCAATTATAAACAGCTTGCTGTAGGGGCTTACACTATGCAACATTTCGTAACTTTAGCTATCAGTATTGTGCATGTCTGCAAGATACAAAATACAGACTGGAAGGGTATTAATGTTGTTTCAGCACACATGTGGGAAACGTGTATCACTCAAGGATGTCAAAAATACAAGTGAATTATGTGGGCTAGTCCCAAAGAGTGCCAGAAGAGCATGGACACCTCACTACATCACATCCTGGGAATATGCCACTCTCAGTACAGGAAAAATGTTATTTTAGGAAAGTTTTAGACAGGTTCGAGAATATATAATTTTTTATATTCCTGTAAAAATAAGTTATCTTAGTATCTTCATTACTATGAGGCCAATGCTTCTACGTTAAAGAAAAAGTCCTTAAAAAGTCTAATAGGATAGCATGGGAGTTCAGGGAGATTTATAAATAACCAGATTTTATGATGTGTTGTCTTAGGCCCTTTCATGAAGAGACAGTTTTCATGCCATGTCTGCATCCTGCCCCAATGAACAAATTCCATTTCCCGCTGTGTCCCTCGCAGGAGGGGCCCCATGCCACAGGCGTGCTCAGGGAGAGCACTGTGCAAAGCACCAAAAACAGCGGGATGAGGGGGCAGCCCCCTTCTACCCCATGCACCAAGGGCTGCAACCAAACCTCATTTTATTTTGGTCCTGAGCACAGAAAGCTTCAGGTCCCCCATACCTCCTTCCTCAGGGACAGGCACATCTCGGATCCTAGGCTATTTGGCAGGGGAGAAAGAGTTTTCTCTCCTGTGGAAGCTGTCAGGCCCCAGACAGCATAATTAAACACTGACAGGTCCAATCAGAGCAAACAAAGACAGTGTGGGCTTGGTGATTTAACACTATGACTTGGAAGAGCAAAGAGCTGGACTCCAGTCCCTGCAATGGTTATTTAATACAGTAATAGCTGACAGAGGGACCAAATGCTGGTCTTTGCAGCAAGTTCCCCAGCACCTGTTCAGTTGTGCACTGCTGTGCATACTTCCAGCCTCATTGGTCTTTAATCATTCAGGATTGAAATGGAGCAACTATAGCAGGAGGGAATGAGAGTCCCTGAAAGAGCTTATAACTTGCCAGCTAAGAAAGGTTTCTAGAAGCTGTGGGTTTGGGTCCCCCAAGAGCCAGAGGAGTGGGTGCCAGGGGAGTGGGTGATGCTGAGTGAAGGAATCAGCACCCCAAGCAGGGAAGAGGGTGCCCAAGGTCAGTTCAGAGCTCTGAAGGAAACCCCTATTCATTTCTTCATCTTTAAAAGGAAGCGATGATGCACTTAGCTCCAGGGGACAGGGCAGGGCTGTCAGCTCTGAAAACCTTCGCTGTAGCCCAAGCAGAGGGTACCCAGGCCAGGGACACGCTGGGCCCCACCATCCCCAGGGTGCAGGCAGCTCCCTGCTCATATACCCCTTCTTGGGCACCCCATGTTCTGCAGGCACTCAGAACCTGGATCACGTTAGCGTGGCAAGGTGCTTTCTGCCTTTTCTGGGCTTCGCCATTGCTTCTATCATTATCTTTTCAAGCATATTGACATTCACCAAGTACTCTGTTTCAACGGACTTCTTATGATAACACTTTGTGAAAAGCAAACTAACAAACAGACACTCATGTTGCTAGGAAGCATTGAGCCAAAAAAGGGGCCTCATGCTAATAATAAACTGGAGGGAAATTTGCTTTTATTCAGTCAGCAACAAGTCCCAGCATAGGAAGATTCTTAAGTGCAGCTAGCCTAGGTCAGAGAGGGGCCCATGCAACATCCTTACTTCCCATCAGCCTCAGGATTTGCAAACTCTGGTTAGTCTCCCTGAAACTTCTCAGGATAATATAGAGGAAAAGAGCTGAAACAGCAGGCCCGTGTAACTCGTGATTTCATGTTTCCTCCAAATGACTAATTTTCCACTGAAACAACTAGAATAGAACTTACATAGAGATGCTTTCTTTCAATGTATAGTGAACAACTCTCACTGTATTAAACCACAGGATACAGACCATTTTCTGAAAACAAGTCAGAATAATGCTGTAAAGGAACACTTGAACTACTTCAAGACACATACCTGGAAAGAGGTACAAGAGGCTCAAACTGGGGGGTCCTAGCTAAGAAAAGGAAACCATACTGGCAAGCTGTTTCTATTTATGAACATCTACTGCAGGTGCCACCCTTGTCTCAAAAGACAGTGCTGTTTAGCGTAAATCATAAGCTAAGAGACAAACACAAGGAAGAAATTTCAAATTGGAAGTAAACTTCTATATAAATCCCAGAAGAAAGTTGTTAGCTGTCTTGGTAGAAGGAACATGGTGTTTGGCACAGGAAAGCCATCTCTCAAGTCCTTGTTTTTGTTTTGTTGGTGCTCTGATGAGAGAAAGTATTCAAGCATGAGAAGACCACATATTGCAACAGCTTGTAACACAATGAAACTCACTTGCGTAAGTTTCTGCAAGTTGTCAGAGAATTTCTTTAAAGTCAAGATAAGGAATTCAGAAAATACATACATTTACTTTTACTGTTTTTTTCATTACTTAAACTGTCCTACAGAAAACTCCAAGCTAACTTTCTATCAATACTGATCAAATTGTGGGTTCTTGAAAATAATAAGACTTTTCTGTTAATAAAGTGCCCCCAAATATCTGATTCTCTAAACAGTAGGAGCAGTGAAGGCAGATTAATGAAGAGGCCACTTTTACCTCTTAGTAATACTCTCAAGGCAAGAAACACAGAAGATCAGATATGTTGAGATGTGTTTTTCTACACTCCTTTTCTCCAGGTGCAAACCCTGCTTAGAGACTCCCTGTCCATCAAACTCATAGAACCATAGAACAGCCCAGGTTGGAAGACACCTCAAAAGATCATCTGATACAACATTTCATGGTAAAAGAAGCCTAGGTGAGAACATCTAGCACCACGTCCAATTGCATCTTGAAAACTTACAATGATGGTGACTCTACCACACACATGGGGAGGTTGTTTCAGTGATTGATTGTTCACACTGTAAAAAATTTATTTCTTATGAACCTGTAGCTGTTGCCCCTTGCTTTCTCTGTGTGGCTCCTTGTGGAGAGAGCCTCCATCTTCTTTGTAGCCACCCATTAAGTACCGGCATACTGGGATGAGGTCCTCCCTGAGCCTTCTCCAGGGAGAAAAGACCTAATCCCTTCAGTCTTTCCTCATAGGGGCAGGTTCTCCAGCCCTTTGATCATCTTCATGGCCTTCCTTTGGACCTTCTCCTCTTGTCTGCATCTTTGTTGAATTGTGGGGACCAGAACTGGACACTACTCAGTCAACTCCTCTAGCTGTCCTTGCTGATAGAGGAACTGCAAAGTTGAACTATATCTAAGCCTTGTTTTATGCTCACTGGAGGTGCCAAAATCTAAAGGCTGATGACCTAAAATCTTGAGTACATCCATGCAGGGGCTGAACTACTGTGGAGCACACTGTCCCACACAGCTTTGCCCACTTTCCTTTCCCTCCTCTCTACTACCCACTGATAAGTGAACTTACTTAAGACGTGGGTTCTGTGTTTCTACCTGGGAAATACAGGACAGTGCTCCCCTCCCCCAGGCGTGCATGCTAGCCACTCAGCTGGAAGGCTGACATGAGGCCACTCTTTTCAGGGCTACCCTGAAACACTCACTTTTTGGCACAATAAAAGAGAAGGTCTTTCTCTTGCTCACTGGCTTGAGAAGAGCAGGGCTCTGAGTTCCAAACCTTGCTTTACTACGTGCCTAGTAAAATATTTCAGTGATATAGAAAGGATGTAAAGAAGTCCCTGCATAAAATTGGAACCATTTAGGAAACAATAGCATGACTCTGCTGCTTGTAAAAGGGGACCGGCAGCCTAGCAACCAAATTCTTGGTCAATGGAAAGACTGTTACACAAGCCCAGCGTTCGGACGTGCTTCCTCCTCATGCCCTGCCCTGCCAATTTACTACAGCCTTCTCTCCCCATTCCCACAGTCTTTGGCCTCTCCCATGAGACTACTAACAAAACTCAGCACCCACTAAATGGGGAATTTTTGCCACAGGCCATCTGTCACCTGGGAAATGGGACTGAGCTGATCAAACTCATCTCATGTAAGGCATCTAATAAATTGGAAAAAAAATTCAGTTGTATTCAAGATGTGCTGAATGGACTCAAAGTAATCACTGTCAGCTGACAGTAAAATCCAACTCAAGATCTTTTGCCAGTACATCTCCTAAACTCTTCTCCTGAATTTTGTTTATAAGTAGCCTTC